TGAATTTTCAATTTTTCGGTTTCTCAATTTTGTCGATGTTTCAATTATGGATTTTTCATTATTTAGTTTCTTCATTTTTTCGATTTTTCAATTTTTCATCGATTTCTCAATTTTTAGATTTTTGGATTTTTCAATATTTCTATTCGTCAATTTTTCGATTTTTCAATTTTTGACGTTTCTAAATTTTCAATTTTTCGGTTTCTCAATTTCTGGATTAATCGATTTTTTGGTTTTTCGACTTTTTGATTTCTCGATTATTGAATTTTTCGATTTCTCAATTTTTCCGTTTTTCGACTTCGATTTTTACTGTTCCGATTTTTCAATTTTTTAATTTTTCAATTTTTCAATTTTTTAATTTTCCAATTTTTGACGCTTCTAAATTTTCGATTTCTCGATCTTTCAATTTTTCAATTTCTCAGTTTTTGATTATTCGGCTTTTACTCAATTTTTGATATTTCAATTTTAGGATATTTCAAAATTTTGATTTTTCGAATTTTTACTTTTTTGATTATTCAATTTTTCGATTATTCAATTTTTGACGTTTTTAAATTTTAGATTTTTCGATTCCTAGATTTTGCAAATTTTCGATTTCTCAATTTTGTCGATGTTTCAATTATGGGATTTTTCATTTTTTTTTTACTTTTTATTCTTTTCATTTTCAATTCTTCATTTTTTAAATCTTAGATTTTTCAATATTGCTATTCGTCAATTTTTCGATTTTTCAATTTTTGACGTTTCTAAATTTTGAATTTTTCGAGTTCTCAATTTTTCCGTTTTTCGATTTTTCGATTTTTACTGTTCCGATTTTTCAATTTTTCGTTTTTTGAATTTTAAAATTTTTCAAGTTTTTAATTTTTCGATGTTTCGATTTTGTAATTTTCCAATTTTTGACGCTTCTAAATTTCCGATTTTTTAATTTCTCAATTTCTCGACTAATAGACTTTTTGACTTTTCGATTTTTCAATTTTTCAATTTTTTGTATTTGACTTTTAGGATTTTTCAAAATTTTGATTCTTCAATTTTTCGTTTTCTCGAATTTTTACTTTTTGGATTATACAATTTTTCAATTTTTTGAAGTTTTAAGTTCTTGATTTTTCGTTTTTTCGATTTTTACATTTTTTGAAAAATCAAATTGATTAATTCAAAATTTGAAAAATTTAAAATTAATATTTCCGTTTATTAACACTTCAGTTTTGGGACTTTTCAATATTTCGAGTCTTCAATTTTTCATTTTTTCAGCTTTTGGCATTTCTGAATTTTTGGATTTTTTGATGTTTCTTTCTCGATTTTTCGGATTCTCAGTTTCTTCACTAATCGATTTTTACTCAATTTTTGGTATTTCAATTGTAGAATTTTTCAAAATTTTGACTCCTCAATTTTTCGATTTCTCGAATTTTTAGTTTTTTTTGAATATTCAATTTTTCTATTTTTAAATTTGTTTTTTCAATTTATGATTTTTTAAATTTTAGATTTTTCAATTTTTCGACTTCATTTTTTCGATTTTTAATTTTTGACGTTTTTAAATTTTCGACTTTTCATTTTGTCGATTTCTCAATTTTGTCAATGTATCAATTATGAGATTTTTCGTTATTTAGTTTCTTAATTTTTTCCATTTTTAGACTTTTCGATTTCTCGATTTTTTACTTTTTCTATTTTCAGTTCTTCGTTTTTTAAATCATACATTTTTCAATTTTTCGATTCTTCAATTTTTAAATTTTTGGGATTTTTCAATACATATTTCTATTCGTCAATTTTTAGATTTTTCGTTTTTGACGTTTCTAAATTTTCAATTTTTCGGTTTCTCTATTTCTGGACTAATCGATTTTTTTGATTTTTCAATTTTTCGGTTTTTCGAATTTTTAATTTTTCCATTTTTCGATTTTTTAATTTTCCAATTTTTGACGATTCTAAATTTTCGATTTTTTTAATTTCTCAATTTCTCGACTAATCGATTTTTTGTCTTTCCGATTTCTCGGTCTTTCAATTTTTCAATTTCTCAATCTATGGTATTTGAATTTTAGGATTCTTCAATTTTTCGTTTTCCCCAATATTTACTTTTTTGATTATTCAAGTTTATCGTTTCCTAAATTTTAGATTTTTGAGTTTTTCGATTTTTTGATGATTCAATTTCTTGATTTTTCAAGTGTTCCATTTTTTGAGGTTTCTACTTCTCGATTTTTCAATTTCTTAATTTTTCCGTTCGACTTTTCAATTTTTTGCTTTTCCAATTTTTCAATTTTTGGTTTTTTGAATTTAAAATTTTTCAATTTCTCAATTTTTTGAAGTTTCGATTTCTCGATATTTCGATTTCTTAATTTCTCCACTAATCGATCTCTCGGTTTTACAATTTCTTGATTTCTCAATTTTTTAAAATTTCAGTTTTAGGATTTTTCAAAATTTGGATTCTTCAATTTTTCGTTTTCTCGAATTTTTACTTTTTGATTATTCAATTTTATCGTTTCCTAAATTATAGACTTTTCAATTTTTCGATTTTGTGAGGTTTCTACTTCTTGATTTTTCAATTGTTTAATATTTTAAGTTTTAAAATTTTAGATTTTACGATTTCTCAGTTTATCAGTTCTTCGATATGTATTTCTATTGTTCAATTTTTGGCGATTCTAAATTTTCGTTTTCTCAATTTCTCGATTAATCGGTTTTTTGGTTTTTCGACTTTTCGAATTATTCAAGTTTTTGATTTCTCAATTTTTCCATGTCAGTTTTGGTATTTTTCAGTATTTCGATTCTCTAATTTAATTTGTCCGTTCTTCGAGTTCTCAATTTTTTGCTTTTTCAATTTTTCAGTTTTTTTTTTTTTGAATTTTAAATTTTTTAATTTCTCAATTTTTCGATTTTAGATGTTTCGATTTTTTGATTTCTTAATTTCTCCACTAATCGATTTCTCGATTTTACAATTTCTTGATTTCTCCATTTTTCAGGATTTCGATTTTTCAATTTCCCGAATTTTTACTTTTCTGATTATTCACTTTTTCGATTCTTAAATTTTAGATTTTTCAATTTTTCGAATATATAAAATATATAAAACACTAACCAAAATTTGTCTATTCACCTCCACCAACAATTTGATGCCGTCAACTGAAAATTTTGCTTAGCACATACCATATAACTTATATCAAATAACATACTCCTGTACTCGTGGTTTATGAATTTGCCTTGATTTTGTTTATTATTATTATAATTCTTATTATGCAATATTGGGTTGGATCTCCAATATATCTATTTTTGTTTTTTTCTACAATGTGAAGAAGGCTTATTTTACTTTTATAATTTTTCGAAAAAACAGAATTTGATCGTAAATTTAATTTTGCTGTGTAAAGTATGTACATACCTACATTTTCACAGTAATCAATACAGCAGATAAGTAGGCGCTGAGAGGCAAAATTCAGAAACGGGAGACTGATATTTTCGTATTCTACGCACTGTGAAACGTCGAGAAAACATTAATCAAAATGGCCGGCTGTTTTCTACTACTTTCTTGTATCATCCTTTGGAGCAACATCGTGGGAATTCTCTGACGTATTTCAGAATGTTTTTCTTGAAATACCAAGGAATATTGTGACACACGTAAATAAAATCCAAAACTACTGAACTGATTGTTAAGTAAATGTTATCGTGTGACGTTAAATTGTGCATGAAATCGCAGAAATTAAATCGCTATCGATATATATTTTAGTCAAAACAATAATTAACCACAAAATTGCTTAAAAGGGAGAATGCAAACTTTGTGGAATGTTCCACAAAATTATTCACGATGCTTGAACAAAGTAATAACCAATGCTTAATCGTGGAGATAAATTTCAAAGTACAACCTTAATAGCGTATTAATATTTCCAAGACGGAGAAGTTTACTTTAAAACAAAACCTTGAGTAAGCTTCTTGTATAGAAACTATGTACGCATGAAATAGCAGACAAACTTTATTTATCTTTGTATTCTACGGGCTCTGAAATGCCAGTTTTCTTTTTTCATTAGATAAATATAAGGTCTTAAACCACCAAATCGATTACTTGGACATTTCGGGTTATCACATGACTAAAAATTAATTATCAAAATATGTTTTTAGAATCGACCTGTCATTTAGAGAAATTCAGAGAACCCAATTGCTTTATAATGAAAGTTTCATTGTGTATATTAAAATAAATATGTTTGTAACGAGTGGTAAACAAAGCTTTCGAAAATTTTAAGATGTGCTTTGTGGATCTTTGTAACCCAAAATGGACGTAAAATTGTTATTGTGAAAAAGTATGCATTACTTATATGTGTTTTCTATTCTCTGACAGTTGAATCACGTGGTGCGTCTTACGAACGCCTGCCAGTTCTGAATCTTCTAGCGTCATAGAAACCTCAACATCCCTGAAGTCAAGTAGGCACAAAATATAAATTTTATTTTGGTTATTTTTCAAGACCCTGTATTTCTAACGACTCTTTGTTAGGGAGTAATTGAATGTCTTTATGTTTGGGAAATAAAAAAAATCTTGTGATAATTCCCAAGCGTAAGCTGGGTAACAATAATAATAAAAAATGTGTGGTGTGAAACTTAAAAAATTAATACTTTTATTTTATTTTTACTTTGACTACTATGAGAGTTTTCAGCGCTCTAAGAAAACGGTATGAGAACATTTTAATTTAATAAAGAAAAAATAAATCTTACATTCACACGTAACGCCAATAACACCATAAATTGGCAGTCTCTAAATATTTCATTTTTGGGTGATGATAGAAACTTCCTTGTTTTTTTTAAATCAACCCTAAATATTTATCTCGCCGAACCGGAAAAATATTTCTGTGCATACTTTCGACGTTCTCCAAACTTCGCATACCTTTTCATTTAAATTAGAAATTTATCCTACCGAGAATTTATAAAATAAAATAAACTTTCGTCTAATATTGATTTTACTACGAATTTACGAAAATAGCGTAAACACTTTTTGCTAGATGGCGCCACATATCGATAGTAGTGACATGTTTTTTTTGTTGTTTCAGGTTGGCAACAACACCCAGCAGGACACCGGGACAAGTTTAAAGTAGGCTAGTTGGCCATTTTAGACTATTAGATTTATTATAATAACAAATTATAAAATTGGACAGGAGCGATGACAAGGTCTCATCTGTGCGTTTCTCACCGTGTGATCTTTCAGCATGAGTGCAGGAAGAGACGTTGCCATCGCCGTATGATAAGTTGTGAGTTGGGTTTCTGTGCAGTGTTGCAAACACTATAAATGTTAGATTCTCTATTATATGTTACGAAATATTACTAAATTATTTATTTAGCTCGTTTTAAGTTGTTGGTCGGTAAAGAAACAAAAACAAAAATCCACGGAAGGGGGCACCACTTTAGAGGAACCAGAAAACAGGCCGAGATTGTGAATTTTTGGGTGTTCGACTTTATTTAATTTTGTCAAGTTTAGCGTATATTCTGTGATGTTGTGTTGTATTTTATCGTGGAAAATTCATATGCTTTGTGATAATTTAGTGGTGTACTGTTCAGTTACGGTGTAGTAGAACAGATCTGATTTATGTAGTCGTAGTGTATTCGTTTGTGCTTTTCCTTGTTTCGAGGTTAGGTTGACCCAAAAAAAATGCTCTTGTACAATTTCTATATTAGAAAAGTATTGTCAAGGCGGATCCTGATTGCAATCGTGAATCGACAAACGCGTTCATTTAGCACCGCAGGTGTTGGTTTTTGTTTTTTCTTATGGCTTTATTCGTGTTGTGGTGCCCCAATTTTGAGCCAGAGTCTATGAATCAGTTGGTGAAAGCTCTTTCACGGGTCTTAGCTCAGCATACATTCTTACAAAATATTGTGATTAGAAAAGTTTTAAATTATTTTTTATAATTTGAGAACGTTTTTGCATCAAAATTTTATATGTATAAAAAATTATATAAATATGATAATTATATGAAAAGTTTTTTTTGACAGTTTTATCTTCTTATCTGCCACGATGTTTTTTATTTAGATTTTTATTTTTGTAGATAACTAGTCAACTTTTTTAATTTTTGGGACTCTGCGAGGGTGGGCAGCTGCCGAATTAAAGTGCGTAGTTGCTGTAGGCTAAAAAGCGGTACTTTTTGGATTCTTGCTATTGTTTTGTTAGAAATACGCAACAAGAACCTCGTTTGTCGTTGTATGAAGTGCGCAACATCCGAAACGCTCCCCTCCTAGTACTACTTTATCTAATGAAAACTGCCAGTTTTGTGGTTAATTATGTTCGGGGCATTTGTGGATGCAGCTTATTTCGTATATGCTAGTTTGACGGGCAATCGTCCATCCTCGTCCCAAACTTTCCCAGATTGTATTATTAAACTCAGAAACTAGCTTTTTAGTGATACTATAAATTATATAATAAAAAAAAGATTAATGTTGCGAAAATTTTATGTATGTATTGGAGATTTTTAAATTATTAAAATGCTGGACATTATTATTACTATTATTATTGCGGCTCTGAATTTTTTTGAGAAACTTTTGCACCGTTTTTAACCATGATTTCGTAGTTATAAGGGTTCTATTTTATTTCCGAAACACCTACACTTTCAAAAAAAATCAGAGCAGATTTTTTGTTCTTTGAAAAAGAAAACTTTTGAAAGTACGAAAATCTGCCATCCAGTTTTTAGCTTTATTTGTCCTTTCATTTGTCATGTTTGTACTTTTCAAAGTTTTATATATTGATGAGAAAAAAAATTTATATACCTAGATTGTGTGTATTCTTTTTATGTTTGTTTATGCAAACATGACGAGAATCTGGCTGTTTGTGTATTGACTATATCAACTGCCTGTTTTATTTCTCGTGAAAAATTTGCGTTTTCACACGAACACGAAACGAAACATATACCAAAGACATTTTCCTTTAGTCATAGTCTTATCACTTTTGTTTTGTTCCTCGAGGATTATGACGTCAATTAGGCCATCAAAAATCTGGCAGCTGATGTATTCTGTACATTATAATATTAGGTAAGGTAATGTGTTCTATAAAATTCATTGGTAAAAAAAAATAGATGTTATTAAGTAGGCTACCGCGTAAAATTCTATCTGTAACTATGAGTAATGGTCGATTGGTTGGGCGACTTCACTTTCTTTCTTTCTTTGCCTTTTGATTTCTATTTGTGTGTTACATTCGTATCAGTATTATCGATCAAAGTTAACAATGTACGCGGACGTTTGATTGTTCTTACGCGCTGAACTAATAACTTTATTAATCGTGGTTATAGATATTATTGTTATGTCCCATTTAAGGTGTTTTAATAAAATAGAAGGAATAGTTTGGTAAAAAACAAAAAGATTCACGGATCACAACCGATTTGCGGTCCAATTTCGGACGCCATAACACACGTATAATTTATATTGAAATGTTATTTTAAAAACTTCAGTTACAAAAAAAAATAAACATTTATAAAAAAACTATATGGCATTTTTATTCACTCAAACGAAAAAATTATTCATATAACTAGAACACTTACACGTAATCACGCTTTAAATGCATTTGCCGCTTCCTTGAGATAAGCAGCAAATCTACTTGTCAAGCGACAACCACAAGAACAGCTTCAGGAAGTTAGGTTATGAGTGACATTTGTGCACACTGGTCCATCATCACAACGAGACGGCAACATTCAGCAATTTTAAAGACAACTTGATTAAGCAGGTAGGTGCATGCTACCAGTTGAGGGTAAAAATTGGAAGCCTCAGGTTTTCCACCGGTACCCAAAACAAGTAACTCTTTTGGTGCGATATTTCTATTATCCATTCACGATCTTTATATAGTAAAGTAGGCTTTGATATATTTTTTTTAAGATGGATAAACTGATTTGATGATTTAGTTTTTTGTCTGTTAGTAGTCTGATTGACATTTGGTTGAGCTGGATTGCCACTTTTCTAAAATTAGATCAGAATCATTAGACGCAATTTTTTAATCAGGTAAACAAATGTTTTAATTTTCTCAGCATGGATAATTTGTCATTGTGACAGATTCATAGATCATTGCGACATTATTTAAAAAGAAAATGCCTAAAATAGTTTTACTGCAACAAAAAATTGCAATAAAAAGATCTTTTTTCCCCCGATTTCATTTGATTTCCTCTGATTTCCTTTGATTTCCTGTAATTTTCTTTGATTTCCTGTGATTTCCTTTGATTTCCTCTTGATTTCCTATGATTTCCTCTTGATTTTCTATGATTTCCTTTTGATTTCCTCAAAATTTGTTTACATAATGTACTACAGGGCGTTTGTTAACTTTTTTTTAACTTGACTTTTTTGTTTTGCCGATAATGATGTTGAATTTAAACTTTTTTTTACAAGTGTTTACTAACGTACGGTGACTAGGTAAGCTGAAGTGCTTTCCCTTTAGACGAAAAAAATAAATAAATAAAATGTATTGTGCTGCTAAGCAACAAACTGAAATGTTTAAGAAAAAAATCTGATTTTACTTACAAAAAGAACGCTACTCTGAAATCGAGGTTTTAGATGTCTAAATCAATAGAGGAAGTATACGTTCGAATTTTACACTTTCTTGGGTCAAATGTTTGTTCTAAAAGTGGACATATGCAATATTCTAGATTTTTTGCACATTCAGTCAGAAAACCTTATGGTCTATTTTAATTTTGAAATTAAAAATGTCTGGTGTGTACAAATTAGTTCGTTTAAATCACTCAAATAAAATGCACCACCTAGAAGGGGTAGGCGTAGAATGTTGAAATTTGGTGGAGAAGACTATTGCATATAGACAAACATTTGATTAAAATTTCAAGAAAAAATAAAATGTCTAACACAAGAAATGTTAATAATGTGTTAAAATTCCACGTGCGCGAATACAAGGCTGTATTCTTCTAGGCATGCTTAAAATGAGATGATTTATTGCCTGTCAGGGTATCTCATTCTAGGCATTTTGAATTTGTTGTAGCAATTCTTCCAAAGTCTTTGGAGGATGTGGTAAATTGCACAGCCTTCTATGCATTACATCCTAAACATGTTCGATTGTGGATAAATCTGGTAATCGGGCAGGCCAGGGTAAGAAATGACGTTATTTTCTTCAAACACTCTTTAAGTTAATATGGCCACATGAGGCCACGCATTATCTTGTTGAACAGATGTTCTTCGACGGTTCTAGAGATAAGGAAAAAGAATTTGATTTAACACGTTATCGATGTAGCGTCGGGCATTTAGCGTGCCTGAAATGAACACTAAGAGGGTACTTCAACAGATGTGTATACCACCCCATATCATTACTCCAGGTGTTAGAGCGATATGACGTCTCTGTACAAATTCCAGATTTTACCTTTGGCCTCGAGGCCTTCGAACACGTATGCGTCCATCAGAGTGCCATAAACAAAACCTAGACTCGTTTCTAAACATTATGACATTCCACTATTACAGCCATTGCTGCCTCTCTTGGTACCAGTGAAGCCTGGTAGTTTTGTGTTCTTATGGTAAGGGAAGTTTACAGTTTGGACCATAAGATCTCAAGCCAAAGGATCGAATTTGGCGGTAGATGGTACACCTCGGATTCTGTGCCCAATTGGTGTCATCCGGTCCATCCCGACTGATCGTTATGGTTACCAAGGGTATTGAATAACACTTCTTCTTGGCAAATGATCTTCGCGTTTTTGGGTGACTCTGAAACGGTCGCTACCCCTGCTACACATTTGTAGCTCGTCGTTGTTCCATACTCGACTTGTTCTTAATATCGTCGAATGCGTTGGGCCTAGATTTCTGGTGATTTCCCGAAATGGTAAACCAGCCTCATGCAACCCAATAATTCGCCCTCTTTCAATGGGTGTTATTTGTTGAAAATTACCTCGTGTGCGAACTCGTAGCATTTTTGCAAGCACAGTCACGACAAATGTCAAGTCAAATTGCAAAAGAATCTTACTCAAGTGTCTTTAAAACATAATCAAAAAATTAATAAAAATCGAATAACACCCGGTATATTATCTAAACAAGTTGTAGTTTTTAATTCAAATTTTAATCAAATGTTTGTCTATATGCAACAGTCTTCTCCACCAAATTTCAACATTCTAGGCCTACCCCTTCTAGGTGGTGCATTTTATTTGAAACCCAGTGTATATATTATTATTAATTTTTTAATAAATTATATTATGAAATTTTGCTTTTGACTTTACGAAATTAAAAGTACATAAGGCCAAGGATATTTTTAGTTACGTCAACAGTTTTTACTTATCAGTGACTCATACTTATGAGGCAATAACGACTGGCTCATACGTTCACAGAGGTAATTAATGAATACCAAATAGTCCAAAATCATTCTATTAGGTTCATCTGTGTATTATGCATACAAAATCATGGTAAAGTTTGACCTACTAAATCGAACTTATAATAATAACTTAAGTCATTACTTTTTAAAAATTGGCTTTATTCATTTATTATAGTAGCATAAACAGAAAAAACAAGTAGTTTCATTTATTTTATTAAATGTTAAAAAAACGGGAACTCTAAACATAAAAGTAAAGCATTTCTGTTGGATCATAAGAAAATATCACAAAATAAAACAACTTCTTAAAAAATACTTACCCCATAACCTGGGTCGAGATTTGTGTATATATTGTAGATGATGTTGAAATAAAAAACTGTGCTAAATACAGACCTACCCATAAATACAGATGATAACACTTTCAATTTTTTGTTCACAACTTTCAAATGAAGCATATTAGAAAAAAACTTTTGAAATGCAAAATTTAACACTTAAGAATTTTTTTTGCACAATGAAGGAGTGGATAACCCCACTTGATATATTTTCAGAGGTAATTTTCCCCTTTAAAAGTGTTCATGGGCACCTAGAATTTTCCACAGTTTCTTACTTTAGTATTCTCTACGATATATACTTGTACAAATCTCGACCCAGGTTGAGGTTACATTATCACAAATTTTAATCACATCACTTAAAAAAGAACTAGAATTAAATGAAATATTTTTTCAATATTTTTTTTTTCAAAAACTAAACTGCCTCTTCTGAGTACCTGAGGTGGAGGTGGTTTCATTATATATTCATTTTCTTGAATCTCCCCCTGATCTTTAATGTCCGGAAACATTAAAGCATCCGGAATTTTTGGATTCCTTTTCAAAAAATCACAAAAAATAGGGTTAAGTGATAACACTTTACCAATGTAACATTTTTTGTTTTGTTTTTGAGTTGTCAATTGTACTATAATATAATCGTCTATATTTAAGTCTGGTTTAGAACGATCAGTCTTACTATTTTCAGCCTTGAGATTCAAACGAGGATTCAAATCATCAGAATAATTGGAAGAATTCAAAATTTCGGTGTCCGTGCTGTCATCATATTCGATACTACTTGGGTTGTCTAAATCAGATGAGTCACTTGCGTCACTTGATATATTATAGATTCTTTTTTGTTTTCCAATTTGGACTGGTTTTTGAATTTGAGATGCATGGTAGAAGGAGACCATGTTTGAGATGCATCTTTATGTTGAAGACAGGTATCTGTTTCTGAGTTAACTCTACTACTATTACATTTTTTATTTTGAATAAATCTTTTGAGACGATCCACACTGACGCGATCCTTTTCATTGTCTAACAGCCAGCAAAGTGAAGAATTTTGTATAACTTTTGTTGTATTATCTAAGCGTATTCTGACTAGATCACCTTTCTCAACAAAAATATCGTCACTATCAAAACTTCTAAGGTGTATGTCTCTGTCAAATTTCTTAGATTCGTACGAAATTGTGCAAAGATCATTCAGCAAATCTTCATCTTGGTCAACTGGATCGTTTTCCAAACTTTGAAAACAGTTACGTTTCATGGCTATTTGAGAATTGTTGTAATTTTTCATCTTCAACTTCGTCATTGCATTTATTGTCTTTACACGGAGGCAAAAATACATAGTTGAAATCTATCACGTTCATTCCTAAATCTTCAGTGTCACGCAGACAATTCCGTAAAGCTGATTCTACGGTGATTTGTATATCTTTATCTGAAATGTTTCCTAAGTCATCATTTATCACAAAATCTCTCTTCATGATTGAACTTTTTTCCCTGATTTCTCTAGGAAAAACGAATTTCTTATCCAAATCGTTTTTAATGTTCTTTATAGTTTGCAGTCTGTGACTTCGATGCAACATATCTCTTATAACAAAATTAAAAATTGTGCTAAAAGTTGAGGTCATTGATCTAAGGCTTCTAAACATACTCTCACAAGTTTGAGAGCTAAACTTCCAAGGCAAGAACATATCATCAGTAAGATTTTTGCACGACCTGAACTTAATGAATTTGGGACCTCATATCACAAACTCAGTTTTTAAAAACTAATTTGGGGTGAAATTATAAATTTGGTTTGTAGGTATAAAGCAATATAATGTATCATTTCTCATCGGAACTGCACTTCATTAACTACAACTTTAATATTTGTCAAGCTGAAATATCATGCTGTCAGT